TCCACTGACCTACCATACTTATTATTAAATTCCGCGCTAGTCAAAAAGGACAGTGGTATTTTTCCTCGCTGAGTAAATTCTATTGTTTTGATCGTTTATACGTATCAAAACTACTGTTTTTCACTTTAATTGAGCTTCTTTCAGTTAAAGTATCCGATTAGATTATCGTTTTTGTTTCTTAAGTAGTTTTGTTGTCAGTACTTTTGAGTACTCTGTTTTTCTATAGTAACTGTTAGTACTTTTGGTTCTAACGATCCACAGTTTTCCACTTTTTTGGTCATAGATTATTTTTTGTCTCTGAGTATTTTCGCATCTAATTCTTTCTAAAAAAAAACCCGTGTTTAAATGACTGGACAGTGCAAAAAAGTAATTGCCAACGCCTGGTCTGTCGTTATCCTGTTGAAAGCGGCAATGCAGTGCGATGAGTGCAAAGAATGGTACCACGAAGTTTGCACAAATTTAACGCCTGCAGATTTCAAACGGTTCAGTAGGAATGGTTGTGTATGGCTCTGTCAACAGTGCTGTTCGGATGCTAACAGCTTGCTAACCGAGGCCATCTCATTGGTTAGTGCTGCTAAAAAATGTTTTGGCAAGAGCGGTTGCGACACATCATCAAGTACTCGCTCCGTTGACACGCAAATTGGCGTGAGGCAAACTAAAGTGAGTTCGAAAACAGATGACTCGCACCGACCAAAGGAGGGAGAACAGTCTCCAAAGAGTTCTGTTCGCCCAATAAACTCAAGGAAAAATGTTTCTTTTGTCCCACGTCCTCAAAATGGTATCCAGAAAGAAACACATAGAAGCCGCAACCGCAAGGCTCGATCAGTTTCTAATGGGACACCAAACCTGACCTCCCAAGTCATCGAAAACCCTCCGGAATCCCACAGTATGTTTGACGCGACTGTGGTTGCTTCTCCAAGTAACGTTCACGAATGGGTACAGGTTGTGAGGAAGAAACAGAAAAACGATATAAAAGGGAACCCTGCCTCCACAAAAGTAGTCGAAAAATCGAAGGCTGATCACAAGGAGAGCGAATGCTCCGGACCGAAAACTCGTTTTGAGCATGACATTGTCCTGATAAAACAGCTACTTAATCAACTCATGCCTCAAAATATCTTCGGAGTTACCTTGCTAAAGGTGTATAGACTAGGTAGTCTAGCGAACTTGAAGCCTAATCAATCTAGACTGCTTAAAGTAGTATTCAAATCTTCGAATGAAAGGGACTTAATTTTACAGAATGGACATAAATTAAAGGGTTCGGGAGTTCTTATCCGAAAGGACTTGCCGTTGGCAGACCGTGTAAAAAGACGGGAAGCCGAAAAAGAACTACAAATGAGGTTAGACGCTGGCAAAAAGGACCTGAAAATTGCAAATTTTGGGGTTGTGAGGCTTCGTCAGAGAATGATGGCGAAGCCACTCTGGGTGAAACACGAAGCCACTTAAATAGGCTACGGATCTGTTACACTAATGCCCGAAGCTTGCTTAATAAGCGATCGGAACTAGGTGAACAGATTGACTCTACAAAGCCAGACATAATCGCTGACACAGTCTATAGACAATATGGAACTCGATTTTGAGGGTTTTACTTTAGTAAGGACTGACAGAATACATAAGCGTAAAGGAGGGGGAGTAGCTCTATTCATTAGGAATGCTATCCCGTTTGTCATTATTGATAGTGTATCCCATGAGAGTGGGACGTGTGAATCGGTTAGTTGCCGCTTGAAATTCCAGGGGCAAGAGCTGCTAATTGGTTTGGACTATCGCAGTCCAAGCTGTGAGGTAAATGATGTCCTGTTAAACAGGCTCAAAAATTGGTCGCGAAGTGGTCGATGTCTAATCCTAGGGGACTTTAATGCACCTATGGTAGACTGGGGAAATCTGCGAACCGAATCATCAGATAATTCCTTCTAGCAGGAACTAGTTGATGCGGTTATAAAATGTGCCCTAGTGCAACATGTGAAAGAAGCGATTAGGTACGACCCGGACACTGAATCATCCTTACTAGATCTTATATTAACTCACTGTGAATATGACGTTGCGAACCTCCTTTACATGCCAACCCTAGGTAAAAGTGATCACGCAGTTTTAACTTTTGATTTCCATACAACTGTCAATCACGAGCACGCGTCAACTCAATCCAGACCTAACGTCTGGAAAGCAAGCATACCAGATATCATGCAGTCAGTCAGTCAGCTGCAACGTAGGACCAGGCACGTATATGCATCGGTCCAAGTTGCCATACCGCATTAGCACAAGATGAACACCGGATTCATAAAAGCAGTTAATTCAGTGGTGGTAATATATAGAAGAAAGAGTGTGTATAAGGAGATAGTACAGGAAGATAGAATTAGTTCGTAGAAAGAAAGATTTGAAGTGATTTCAATCTCTTAGTTTAAAGGAAGACAGAGAGTGTATACACCTACGTCATTCTAATCGATTCTGAGCCATGTCACCAAGAGTCTCCAACCATTGGTTACGATAGTCACGCGGACCCCAACCAGGCAGTCTGAATCTCCCAACATGGCTCAGACCAGATGTTAGTGACTTCAAGCACCTCTAACAGCACTCAAGATATCATGCACTCGACATCATTAGTAGATTGGACAATAAACCCAGAGTCCTCAATTGAAACGGCTTGGGATGCATTCCGAGATTTATACTTAAAAGTTACCGCACCCCACGTTCCTTGGACTATGCCAAGGGGGCCGAGAAACTCCCCACCATGGTTCAATAGGGAGGTCCTCACCCGTCTCCGTAAGGGAAGAAAAATGTGGGATAGATTTAGGTTACTGGGGACTGATGAGACAAAGTCTCAGTACCGAAAAGCTACGAATACCTGTGCCTCGACCCTCCGTAAGTCTAGAAAGCTGTACGAAGAAAAAATTGTTAAGGAATCCATAGAATGTCCTAAACGCTTGTATTCCTATATAAACCAAAGGACAAAAAGAAGAGGAATTATTCCTGCACTATGGGGAGACAGTACTGCCGCATCATTAGTAAAAGATGACTTTGGTAAGCTCAAGTGTTCTCAAACTACTTTAGCAATGTATATACCATAGAAGCACCCCCCCACACATACACTGGATAGCGTGACCATAAATGAACTCAATGTCTTTGATCTGCTAAATAAGCTTGACATAGGTAAATCCATGGGGCCCGATGAATTGCATCCTAGGCTACTAAAGGAATTATCCAACTTCGTTGCGAATCCTTTAAGTATATGCTTGAAGCTATCCGTTACGCAGGGTCGTTTACCAAAAGACTGGAAGAACGCCATAGTAAGTCCTGTCTTCAAAACAGGTACGAAACATAAACCTGAGAATTACCGACCCGTTAGCCTAACTAGTGTGGTTGTTAAAATCATAGAAAAGATTATTCGAAAAGAGCTGTTTAAATACGTCGATGTAAACCGAACCCTCTCGGAGAAACAGCACGGTTTCAGAATAGGTTATTCTTGTCTCACTAACTTATTAGTCACTCGAGAAAGCTGGTGCGCTTTTAAGGACCAAAAGTTACCTGTAGACGTGGCTTACATTGATTTTAGCAAAGCTTTTGACAACGTTCCGCAAAACTGGCTGTTATATAAGCTAAAAAATGTCGGAATTGGAGGCAATCTATTGACGTGGATGAAAGACTTCCTTGTTGGGCGCCAACAAAGAGTACGGGTAAACTCAAAATTATCTAGCTGGGAAACTGTGCTTAGTGGAGTGCCCCAGGGTACAGTTTTGGGGCCAGTGCTATTCCTCTTGTATGTAAATGGCCTTCCTGGCTTACTGTCATCATCGGTCTTGCTATATGCTGACGATGTCAAGATATGGAGAACGATACGATGTAAGGGTGATAGCTTAGAACTCAGAAATGACCTGAAGATATTATCCGAATGGTCTCATACATGGCAGCTGCCGATAAATACTTCCAAGTGTGTTGTGATGCATATCGGCCATCAAGGTTCAGATACATACACGATGAATAACACTGAGCTACCTGTTGTCCAGACACATAATGATCTGAGAACTACTGCACACTGCCGTGCAATAGCCGCCAAAGCATTTAGAACTTTATGGTCAATAAGTAGGGCTTTTACTCATGTCGACGCTCAAAGGTTTTTGACTTTGTATACAGTGTTCGTACGTCCTAAACTTGAGTACTGCATACAAGCGGCTAGCCCCTGCTTAAAAAAAAAGTGAGATTTTGGAAAAGGTCCAGAGAACAGCAACTAAGCTGATTCCCGTAATAGTGAAGCTTCCGTATGATGCTCGACTGGCCAAGCTAAACCTATTCCCTTTGTCATATCGTAGAACTAGAGGCGACTTGATTACAGTTTTCAAATTGCTTAGTGATAAATTTTCACCTGATATGCCCTCATTTTTCCTGTCTTCCAAAACAGAGAATTTACGAGGACACTCCAAAAAATTCCACAAGCCCAGAACAAATTACTTGTCAGCTGATTATCGACTTTCCCACCGAATCATCAACGAGTGGAATTCATTACCTCAACATGTGGTTGAAGCTCCATCCGTAGATTCCTTCCAAAGAAAGTTGGATCAACTGAGAGAACACAATTGTCAGGACTAACTCAGGCCATCAAGCCTCCTGTTTTTTCCAAACTGAAACTGAAACTGAAGTCCGACTGATTGGCACGACGTACTCAATCTTAATCACATGAGGGTGCTTGGCCGAAAGCCTTCAGCTAAATATGTGCCTAGCAAATATAATAAAGTAACATGAGCTCTAGAGAATTACTAAACTACTAACTTTTGAGATTTATTTACCTCTACTTTCCTATCGAGTTTACTCTAGAAGTTACTACTTGGTCAATGCTCTCGTTGCTAACGAATGTTTTTGTACTGCAGAGAAAATAAAATACAAATTATACAATCATCTGAACAGGAATGCTCTCCTACTGTCTAAAGCATATCCTTTTGAATAATGATTTTATTTTGAAGTTCAAAGTGGATTGAAGGTTTTCTGTGCTTTTGAGCCAAGTTTAAAATCTTTTAATGTCTACGGAATTATGCGACTCTGGTATATTTAGCAATGAGGATTGTGCTTTACTATCTCAATTAGATAGGTAGGTGGAATAAGTTATACAAAATCTGTTTTAAACTTACTCTTATAATAAAACGTTCGCATTGAAGCTCGATATTTGCCTGGACTTATCCGAAGTCTGTTCGAAATACATCTATGTACACGTAGTCTTTTACGTTACGAAACTGTCCAAGTTTTTCGTTTTCGGCCTGAATCTTGCATTTCAGCTGTAATATATGTCGTTCTGTTTTCACATTTTCAGTTAAAAATTACAGTTGGTATTATAAAGTTACACATATACTGGAATGTATTACGTGTAATGAATAACTCTCCTACCACAAGTTTCCACTTGATATAAAAACAAGTTCAAATATTGTCTCGTTGGTACCCTGGTCTGTATTCTTCCGTGTAAGGCTATGGTTTGGAGAGTACAGTGGGGTTAAAGAAGTCAATAAAACTGCCCATCTTAATCCTTAAGATTAATCTCGCCGTGTGTTGCTTTCATCGCAATGTTGGTGCAAAGTAGGTTTTTATTCTACTGAGAAAACCCAGTCGCCAATTCCTAAATATAAGTAACGTCAGTAACCCCATGAACCGATGTCGGTTAACCCTTTAGCCCTGTTAGAACCCATTTCTGTGCTAACCAACATGGAGCTTTAAAATATTTTGTGACCGGAAGTATACGGCGTGCGTTCGAAACCCCGGCCAACGAGCCCTCAATTCCCTATCCATCTCTACCTAGTACTTTACGTCCATTAGTATACTGGTATATTCAGGCAATGTTTCAAAAATATCTACATTTACTCACGAGTATTTATGTAGTATGTACTCAGCAAATTTAGAATGTAGAGTACTGTAAGATTATCAAGAGTGTCCAGTAGCACTCGAGTTCGTCACGTTCACAACTGAACTTCATGATTATCCAATATTTATTCTGAAACAAGTATATACCTTCACTCACACTACGTGGTGAGCCTTTGAAAATGATCAAAATTTCACTCTTTGAGTAGTTGTGTGGGTGTTGGTGGAGTGGCAGACTGGTTAATCTAGACTTATTGCTATTCATAGAGATGTATGATTATCTTTGGTGCCAACGTGATGTGGATGTGACTGTTAAAGATTTTGTTCACTGTCAGTGACAGCAGTTATTTTATATCTTTGTGAAACCTAGTTTCTCTGAGTCAGTAATGTACGGTGACTGTATTCGGCCTTCATGATTTCCAGAGAATTGTTCGCATTCAGTTGCAACACCGTGTTACTGATTCCAAGGTTTAAAAATGGGTGTTTGGGTGCAGTGAGGGTGATTTGATTGGTGCCACAATCTTGTAATACTAGCTTTGGTGGGTCGAATTCCTCATAATATCTTTATTTTACCAATTCATTTCTCTGGAATCATATGTTAGGTGTCTAATCTTCTCTATTACCGCTTATACTGTCATTACCTCTACTACTCTTGATTCGCCCTTACACTCATCTCGCTGCGCTAACGAGGTGTGATCTAAATTGGTCCTGTCCATCAATCTCCGTCAGGGTTTCCTGATTTACTTATTACTTTTTATCACAAAAGTTTAGAATATTTCTAAGACTGAAACTACTCAATGCTTCAACTTAGACCGATATTCATTTTTACCAGGTTCTATGTTACTTATCAGTATCCCTCAGCAATGCGTTATATTGTTGGCTTTATTGGATGTAGATTCATCTTGGTTTATATCCAGATATTTGAGCTGACATTTCAATTTAAGCTATAGTCACAACCTTTGTTTAAAGACGTGTCTAATTAAATCGTTGAGCCCACTGAAATATCTTTTTAAACATGCGAAATGTTTTCGGCCTTGACCCTTTCTCTACGTTTCTTCAAACACTTAATAATGCCGTTTCCAAAATCCGGTAGAATACTTGCATATGGGCAAAAAACATTGATTTTCAGAGCTGAGTACATATTCGCAGAACTTTTATCGTAATCATATAATCTCATGTCTACTCTACACTGCAAGGCCGATAATATCCTCATAGAGATTTTAATGTTGGATTCCGAACGGAAGAAATTTCGCTAGAAAATTGTATGTTTACAGAATGGAAAATTGTCATTTCACAGCATAAGGCATTCATCAAAGACGAAGATTTATTTCAAATACATATGCTGAATAAATAACCACCTACAGCTTCGAAAGTTGTTAAAATTTTACAAGTTTAGGGTTGGCCGTACATAATAGTTTTTTGTTGGTATATCATAGTATTCTTAATCTTTTTCAGCTTGGAGTTTGGTGTTTTTAAAGTTGACGCTCCTGAGTCACACGAACGTCGCAAACTATTAGAAAAGGTGACTTACATTATTTAGTTGTTATATTTTCCAATAGGCCGTCGATTACTTTGATAGTATAATCTCTCAGACTGTTCTAGAAATCGAGGAAGAGCGTGCTGTGGAGGAAAGCGAAACTCTCACCAAAGTCGAAGCGGGTATTATAGAGGAAAATCCGAACTCAGTGCGATACAAAATATATGAAAAATACTCAGGACAGCTCGATAAACTTATTGAACCACAAGTTTATCTACATCTTGGTCATTTTCAGCTTCTGCTCAATCGTTTTGACGATGCTCTGTCTGCGTATCTCAAGTTTGAATCACTCTGTCCCAAAGAATCTTCGACCAACTGTCCCTTCCTGTATGGCTTAGGCCTGTGCTGTTTTCGTTTCAACGTATTCAACAGGTACGCTACTCACTGTTATTTCAGGCTTTTCTTTGTTCCAGGACTATCAGACTTTTTCAGCAAATTTTATATTTACAACCGTGGTTTCCAAAGTGTAAGGAGATACATATTCGTCTTGGCTATATATACAAGGTACAAAATAACTTCGAACGAAGTTTGAGACATTTTCGACAAGCTTTGAACGATTCAACACCTGCCACATTTAACCGGATTGAATGTTGGTTTGTCTTTTAATTAACTAACTGAACTGTAGTACGGTTTCATATCGCTCATCTGTTCGAGGTGTGTGGCAAACCTAAACAGGCAAAGACCGAATACTTCCAGTTATTGGATGTTGAGAAAAGCGGTGCTCCGTCACACATCCGACATCTTTGTCTTCGACAATTAGGTATGTCATATTTTACTTATTTTTCACTAATTTTTCAATTTTTAACTACATTGATCACTTAGGCTGTATTATTATGCTAAATTACTTAAGCTTACATACTTACTAACTACTGGTTTTCCAAAATAACATCACGTTCGAGGTATGCAATGTACATCGACTATATTTTTGTTATGAATGCAAAATTTAATCAACGGTAATAAGTCTTATTTTAGCTTCTACGAGTTTTTTCAAACGCACGATATGTAGATGACTCATCGGTTGTAGTCACCCTGATTGTTGGTGGTCGATTGAAGGTGAGTTCTAGCACCAGTTAAGTGATCTCCAGAAAGTGCGTTCGACAGATATTATAGTACTACTCGCCATAAATTTGAATGCTCAGGTCGGGCGTACCAATATTTATGTGTTCAAATAAATAAATAATAATCGACTGGGTGGCCAACGGGGACTTGTTGGTCTCAGGTCAGATAACGATGACCGTCTGCTGCAACTGTGAATAGACTGCAACCTGTTTCTGGCTAGCACTAACTGTCGGCACATTCATCATCAATGTACTACCTGATGTCCTCCCTAAAGATCTTATGTCAGGACTCAGACTGATCACATCTCAATCAACTACCTTTGTCATAATTGTGTACAAGATTGCCGCTCCTCATAGAGTATTTACCTCGACTCTGATCATGCCGTTATTTGCTCTAATTTTACGCTTCAGCGGTCAATATATTCATCAGTGGACCGATGTCAGCTCATTGGTTGCAGCTGCTGTTGCAACTGAATATCATATCGAGCTAGGTTCAAGGCTAGCTATCAACCCACCTACAAGCATAATTAGACACTGGCTACATTCTTATAACGCCATGAAAATGGCGAGTGAAATTGCTTACAGCTTTGCTAAACATTTTTGTTTATTGTAGTTATTAATTTAATGATTGCAAATAACTGGTTCATGTTACCAGAACACAACGCCTCATTGTTTGTTAGAACTTACCTCTTCTTTTGAACTGTTAAACATACTGTTTATGGCACTTATCAAGAATCGATTCCGTTCAGTAACTTGATGAGTCGAACCTTTAATAGAGACTGTTTAACTAAGAAATATCCGGAAATAAACAGTAAGGAGTTCGCTCAGTGTGTTTCCTACATTCATTTATATTCAACTCTTCCCCTGACTTCTTTTGTGTATTGGTACTACTACGGGCTGAACAGTTCTAAGGTTAGACAAAAGGTTTAGTTTGCTAAAATAAACCATCCGATAGATCTAGAAATATATGTTGGTTGGGGGTTTCATGGCATTTCGACATGGTAAATTGTGGGAAATGACTTCTGGCTGGAGATTTCATGAGGTGTTATGAAGAATATCAGTCGAACTAATAAATCAGAAACGATCGCCGAATTCTAAATTTCAAGTTAAAACCATCAAATAGAAAGTAATGATATGTATATGTTCGAATTTTTCTCATGTAAGATTACTAGTTACAGGTGTTTACTTAGATGTTAGAGCATTTGACTTCCAGGCAATAAATTGCGAACTCCAACTCCCCACCTATCAGCCTTTAAATGCTGATGGTGTTTCTGGTCCTCAGGTGAAAAATGTGTCTTATCTGTGACAGTTTATGCTTAGATTTCGTATTTTGGATTTAAACAGTATTAGTTGTTAGCAAGGAATTCCGAGTAGCACCTTATAGATTTAGGAAAACCATGTAGTACACTATCAGGTGTGAGTTTCTCAAAACGAAAAACTTTAATTTCAAGTAAAAAATGTGTTTATTTTTTGAATTTTAGCTTGGCTTCATCATACAGGAGCTTTTGGATCAAAACCTGAATCGCCAAACGAAAAAGGCCTAGATGTTCAATGGCTTCAAAGTGCTTTAGAGTTAGATAACACCAATGGCAAAACCTGGTACTTACTAGGTCGTTGTCAAGCTGCTTTAAATCATGTTCAAGAGGCTTTCGCAGCATATAGAAGTTCTATAGACAAAACGGAGGCTAGTGCTGATACCTGGTTTGTTCTTAAAATTTCTTCATAGTTTAGAACTGTACTACTAAAAAAATGTTCACTCTTTCTAAAGTATGGTGACAAATTGGTTACTTATGTTGTAATTTTAAGTAATTATCAGCTAATGTTGCTGTTTTTTATTTATAGAATAACTGTTTAAGTAGTTAGAAAAAACATCAAATTCAATTAAACTGTATTCATGTAAAACATTCACAATGTGTAGTACTACTCAATTCATTTTTTTTTCTGGAAACATAAGAGAGGGACCTCAGTATTTGTAAAGTATTTTAATAGTGTAGTAGGGCGAATAATATGCTTTGTAGACTTCTAATTCTTTTTTGTCGACTGATCTTCCATACATCACATTTCAGTAAATACATTTGAATAAGAGATTTAGTTTTCGGTGGTGAGTTCTCTGAAACAGAGGGTTTAACTGAAGAGCTTTCTTTGTCTTACTGGACATCATTAGTGGTCACTTCATTTTGTAATGAGCCGTTTACTTATTTCGTTCCGTAGACATTGCGACTGTTTGTTTTCATAGGTATCATTGTCTTCTTTTATCATTTCATTCTTATTGACTATCTTGTTCTATTGATCTCTGACCACCATGTGATCAATTGACATTTTTCGTTTGGGTTTATAGATCGAGTACATGTCCATGTGTCAATCAATTACCGATTAGTCTAAACACTGCACTTCTAGACAATTACTGGGATCCTTAGAATCTCCTTGATCCAGAATTTAAGTTTTTTTTCAGTAGAATTCATGTCCATGTCCATTTGTTATTATTTATTTTGTGAATGATAGTGCATTTGTCTTTAACTGTTTTGTTATTCTATCTTCATAAGATGGGGTCGAGTTTTTAAACTGTATCGATCCTAATGAGTTTCAAAATCCTCATGTTTATTACTTAGGTACTCTTCACGTATTACAGAGTTACTCATTTCTCATTTTCTGTGGCTGATTTCATTACAGTGGTTTGATTCTCGTAGGACCATCTGATGAAGTTTCTGGGATAACCATTTTTATGGAAGACAGACAGAAGATTAAGTTCTCTAACTTTTCACGTAGTGAGAGTGCTGCAGTGGGTTTAGGCTTTTTCTTTGGCTGTTCTAAGAAAAATAGTCACTGAAAAATTCTAGTTAATAGCATGAAATATAATGTTCATCATCAACACGTTCAGTATTGATAGGTAAAATCATGTAACCTTGGTTTCCTCTCTGTTAACGTTTATCGTAGTATACCAAGTCATACCACACTTATCACTTGAGACTCGTTATTTGGCTCCTATTTCACGAACTATGCGCGACGATCAGTGTAAATACCTTATAGGCGTATTTGTTTTCTCTGGTCTTGCCTTCGTAACTTTATTATACATTTACAATCACTGGATTTACATCTTGTCAAATTCTTTTCAAAACACTGCCTGGAGTCCCTCCTGGGCCTACTGCCGGTCCCAAGCCCGGATAATGGAGAAGTGTTAGGCATGGGGTTGGCGACCCCATCCCGCTAAAAAAAAACGCTAACCAGAAAAATTATTAAAACCATTTAAACTCTGCCCTGGGAGTCAGTAGGTCTTCATTTAGAGGAGTTATGACGCCTCATGATGAAAGCCGAGTTCCTTCGGAAGCCAGGAATCCGATGCCCCTTCTGACAACCTGAGCAACCATTTATTTAGATACATGGAATGCTCGTACAATGTGGGAGACTGGGAGAGTCTTCCAAATTGCTGCAGAAATGAGGAGATACAACATAGAGGTGCCTAAGATCAGTGAAACACATTGGACGCAAGTTAGTCAACAACGACTAGCCTCAGAGGAGCTGTTGTTATACTCCGGCCACGATGAAGAAAATGCCCCACATACACAAGAAGTTGCATTGGTGCTGTCCAAACAAGCACAAAATGCACTTATAGGATGCGAATCTCATGGACCAAGGATCATCAAAGCCTCCTTCAAAACGACGAAAGAGGGCATTACAATGAACGTCATCCAACGCTATGCGCCAACCAGCAAAGAAACTCGCTGGAAATTATCGTGAACGAGAATGACCAGTGAAAAGCAAGGAGGGTAAAGTAATCATCAACATCGAAGAACAGCGAAACAAGTGAGTAGAACACTTCAAAGAACTCTTGAATCGACCAGCTCCGCTAAGCCCACCCTACATCGAAGTAGCACCCACGGACTTCCCAATCGATGTTAAACCACCAATAACTAAAGAGATCAGCATAGCCATCAGACAAAACAAGAGTGGCAAAGCGACAGGACCGGACAAGATCCCAGCAGAGGCACTGAAAGCAGATGCAGCAGTAACTGCAAGGATACTCTACATTCTCTTCAGAAAGATTTGGGATGAGGAACACGTACCAACAGACTGGAAAGGACTTCTGATCAAAATACCAAAGAGAGGCGATTAAACTTCAAAATCTTGCATGGAGGGCAATTGACAGACTCGTTCAAGGTTGCTTACTCTCACCCTTTCTCTTTCTCCTGGTGATCGACTGGATCATGAAGACGTCAACATCTGAAGGGAAGCACGGGATACAGTGGACATCTAGGATGCAGTTGGACGATCTAGACTTCTCAGATGACCTGGCTCTTCTATCGCACACACAAAACCAAATGCAGGAGAATGCGACCAGTGTAGCAGCAGCCTCAGCAGCGGCAGTAAGTCTCAATATACACAAAGGGAAAGCAAGATTCTCCGATTCAACACAACATGCAGGAATCCAATCACAACTATGTAGATTTGGAAGATGTAAAAACCTTAACATATTTGGGCAGCATCATTGATGAACATTGTGGATCTGATGCAGATGTAAAGGCGCGGATCAGAAAAGCAAGAGTAGCATATTTACAACTGAAGAACATTTGGAACTCAAAACAATTAGCAACCAACACCAAGGTCAGGATTTTCAATACAAATGTCAAGAGAGTTCTACTGTATGGGGCGGAATCCTGGAGAACTACGAAAGCTATTATCCAGAAGGTACAGGTGTTTATTAACAGTTGTCTACGCAAAATACTTCGGATCCGTTGGCCGGACACTATTAGCAACAACCCATTGTGGTAGAGAACAAACCAGATTCTAGCGGAGGAAGAAATCAGGAAGAAGCGCTGGAAGTGGATAGGACACCTATTGAGGAAAGCACCCAACTGCGTCACAACGTAAGCCCACACATGGAATCCCCAAGGTCGAAGGAGGAGAGGGAGACCAAAGAACACATCACGCCGGGAAATGGAGATAGACATGAGGAAAATGAACAAGAATTGGATGGAACTAGAAAAGAAGGCCCAGGACCGTGGGTTGGAGAATGGTGGTTTTCAGTTATTCTTAATACTAATGTTTAAGTGCTTTGCCATTTCTTACCGTTCACTTTAAATAAGAAGAATATGTAGTCCACTCCAGAATATTGTTGGAAAAACCATTTGACATAATTCCAACCCTTAAAAGTATATTCCTTTGATAAATCGCTTATACTTCCGTGGAGTAATTAAATATGTTTTATTGATGGGTTTCAGACGTGGAAGTTTCCTAAAAGAAGATCCATAAGTTGAATGAAATTTAGACATATAGTTTTAAGTCAATGTTAACATAATGATTTTTGACCCATATATTCTTGTAAAGAGTACTATTAGCATTTGATTTGATTGTCCTTAAAAATTTTTCCATATTTTTCCTTACAATATTGCGTGTCTTATTCAGAAGATTGGTAACAAAGATTTTATACACGTTGATAAGAATGTAAGACAAGAACCGTCCTCTTATTTATGTACTATTTTTTCCGTAGTCAGCAATTTTTTGTAAGTTATTCACTATTTTCCTGTGAGTTTACACTATTGGTTATCCCTAGACATTTATTAACTAGTGTGTGTTTATGATTCTTCTGTAACTGTTTTTAGGTGCTCTATCGGTGTGCTGTATCAAGAGCAAAGTCAACCGATGGATGCTCTTCAAGCATACTTTTGTGCTGTACAACTGGACAAGTGTCATGTTGCAGCTTGGGCCAATCTGGGTACTTTATATGAAAGTATGCAACAGTATAAAGAAGCCTTAAAATGTTACAAAAATGCTGTAAACGCTGATAAGCATAATGAGGTTAGCGTATGTTCTATCATCTAGTATTTTTAAATCTCATAGTTTCTTTTAGAGGTCGAACATGGTTTTTTCAGCTTATTTCATTAATATCACTTATTGAGGGCATACATTTATTAATAATTGATTGACGTTTACAGAGTGTCAGCGAAGTTTTCATGTGTGTTGTACTGCAGCTCAATGCTTTTTTCGTTAATTAACTAAGGACTAATGTGTATTCTAACGACACTCCAGAATAGCATTTGCAATACAACTTTCAAAATACATAATTTATTATAATGGGTTTGGCATCAAGTATCATTTGTTGAGTTTCTTGTCTCCAACTTTTAACAAATTTATTATCGATTTACCTTTAAGGACTGTCTTTCCGTTTGATAAATTTGCAGAAATAAGTTTTCCTATTAAGCAAAAATTTTCCCAGAATTTTAACGGTTTTCTCGACGAAAGCTTTCAAAAAATATAATGTTTATTGGATACTGCTAATGAGTCTTTCAGTTTGCGTCTCATACCTTTAGAGTACAACGTAACACTACCAGGTAACTGTATTTTCAACAGTTCGAACAACAAATACTGCAACTACTGTTTTGACTTCTTCAATTGTATTCATAAACTGATGTACTACGATGGGTCAATTATGAGTAAAATTTTTGTACAAATCGAATGTCCTGATCTTTATCAATTTATAGTAGTTCGTATGCTACTGTCATACTATCACAATACGAAGCAGAATTTGTCTATAGCCAAAAGTGTTTGTTTGATCCATTTAAATCGGGTATATTTTATGTTGATTACAGATTATAGCAATAAGAACCCCATAGATTTTGAATTCAAAAGTTCCTATGTTATTTTAGTCACATATTCACATATTTTTTTATAGAATTGAATGGTATGAATTATATATATTATGGATTGTTAATTTAACTCACTGATCAGGTAGAGGTTTTTGCTATTGACTTTTAGCCACACGTTTTGTGCAGGCTTAGTGATACTATTTAGTTACTTAAAACTGAAGTAGGTGTGGCAGAGTTCAAACCCATATGTCCCTAGTGCAAAAGTACAGTTTATCATAAATGACTTCGTTTGAATTTTGTTTCTCGTAGAGGCTTAAACTAAATTAAATGTGAATTTACTACCAGTTACAGGATGTTTTCAAGAATAGCATTTGATAATGTAGTAATTCATCTGTATTGAAACGACTGATACTCCTTTCTCTTTTTTTAGGTTCGTCTAGAGATTCGTTCTCGTTTGGCTGTACTACAACAGTTAGTTCCAAAACTATCAGATAAAATAACAGGAAGCACATTTAATGGTCCGAACAACAATAGTGTAACATCTAACCAGGTCAGCAATGGTCCTGGTCCTGGTTGTGGTGGAATAACGAAATTACCCACAGTAGATGAGGCATGGAGCCTGCCTATACCTGCTGAACTAACCCAGCGTCAACTTCAGTTAATGTTACAAGAGGCAGCTGTCAGTGATGCTGGGAGTGGTTCGTCTAAGCGTTCTGATAGGCACTTAGCTGGTCTTTTGTTAATCCCAACTCCCCAATCAGTCCTTAGAAAACGTAGTAGTTGGCGCCAGTCTGGTTTCAACGGTATGATGTAGTTTATTTTTGATACAATGTTTGATTATAGTCCTCTCTCCCGTTATAGTTGTAGAAAACGATAACTTTTCAACTGCACTTACGAATAAATAAATAAAACATTATTACCTATATGCATGGTTATTGGACTGTTTAATAATATAACCACTTTTCTGATTCGGTTCATAACTGAGTCATTATATATTTTAGAAAAACTAAACGAATACATAGTTTGACTGTATTATGATTATATTTCTGTTAGGATCAAACATTTTAAATCTAGTTTATGAGTTATAAGACTACGTAAATTCCGATGACGTTTTTATTTATTTGTTCGCTTTCAAAGAAAATTGATCTACATTTTGTCATGGTAACAAATCCCAATGTCTCGAAAGCACAATAATGATTGAAATTATCATACATTAATCTACTCAACAAAGTTCATTTGATTAAGATCTGTAGTGATAAAATAAAACACTGTATCAAGATTAATGTTCAGAGTAACCAAAGATGTGGCTAGTTTTAGAGGAAATTCGGGAGTTATTTGGTAGGTGAACAACGCCTTGCCCCCAAATGCCCTGGTATGGCCGAGAGCGGGGAGGGTTCGCCCTCCCTCTCGAAATACTCTCACACGGCCACGCGTATACAGCCTCTGCCAGGGAAGTCCTACTCACTGCCTTCTCGTGGCGGGGGTGTTGTTTACGAAAATGAGAGGACGAAAAGCGAATGTCCGGCGCTATAACCGGATCCCAATTCTATGGTGCACATGGGCTCCAGTATCCTGCGGGAACAAATGGCGTATGAACCAACTTTTGGTCACCGGCTTCCATGGGACTGCATCTCCTCACGATGCTCCACTGCCTTGTGGACTAGACCTTTAGGTCAAAGGCTCGGGGTGTGGCCCCCTAAGAAAACCACCTGCTTCGGTCTGGGCACCCGGGCAGTATCCCAGCCCACTCACTAAAACTATGATGAACAAAACTATGAACAACGCCTTATGAAGTTATGAATGTAATTGTCAACTTGTGGTGTATGCTACTTATGTCGACAGACATAAGTAATATGTAACACCAATCGGAAGTGGAATGCTTGGCAGCAATATGTTGAAAAGATGGGATTGAACAGGGCAAGAATGTAGACAGAGAGTAATTGTAATTCTCTAAAAACTTTCTATTATTACGAAAAAGTTGGAAAATACCCATTTGCACATCATTTTCACAGGATTCTGTAATTAGTTTTGAGTTTACCTTTAAATTTACTGTAATTTTCACTGGAGATATCAGTCAGTCAGTCAGTACCAACGTAGAACTTCGTACGTACGTACATCAGTTCGAGTTGCCATACAACATTAGCACACAGATACAATTGTCGATTCAAATCTCGTAGTGGTAGAGGTAGTAAGAGTATAAGCAGTAATCGGAAAGATTAGGGTTTGAAGATGTTATTCAAGGAGTATAATTCAGCGAAATAAATTTGGAAAGAGAAAAAAAGGAAATGAAGAATCCAGAAGATTAGAATTTCGGAGAACACAAAGAGTGGATGCACCTGCCCCATCTCAAACGATTTTCAGCCATGTCATTCAAGGTCTCTAACCATCGGTGGCTATCATCTCGCGGATCCCAACCAGGTAGTCTACACCTACCAACATAGCTCAGTCCACTTGTCGGTGACTTCATGAATTTGTGCCACGTTTTGGTCTGGTCGCCCCTAGCTTTCTTCCAACCGACTCCTACACCATAAAACATGGCTCGTCGGGGTAGTCGTTGGTTGGACATCCTTATCTGGTACCCGTTTCCTAACAACTGGATTACTTACTCGGTGGTCCCAGGATATACGAGCAATGCTTCGAAGACAACTATGATCGAATACTAGCAACCTACGAATAACCTCTACTTTTAACGGCCATGTTTCACTACCATAAGGTAGGACGGAACGAACTGCTGCTCAGTTAACTCGTCCTTTGGTTGGTGGACGGTCATCTCGTGGTGTGTTAATGGATAGGTTTTTTGTATCATTTGACTAACTGATATTCATTGCCTTTTTGGGTAACTATTTCACTTTGAAAACGTCTTTTGAGACATTTATTTTGCTAAATCAATTCAGTATTTCGTTGTATTTGCTTAAAATGCTATCTTAGCATCCCAAATATACTTATTTTGGTTGTAATTGTGATACGCTTTGCTGTGGAATGTATTTGATGAACTATTAATTCAGCTTGTTGTCAGTTTTCATTCTACATCACTACTTTGTTTCATATTTTAGGTCCATGTGAAACTGAAGGAACTGATGAGTGTGGAGGGTCTATATCCAAAAGATCACGTCATAGTGATCCATCCTCTTCAACACCTGTCCAACCATTAAGCAATCAGCAACTTCAACTATTACATTCCCTGCAGGTAAATTCATATATTAATTTTGAGGTATTTCGGTTTATCATTAATATTTCGTCAACAAATTTCTTTTCCTCACTACAGTTTTCGACTTTTTCAATCCCCCATTTTAGATGTGTTCTTAAAAAAGCTCTTTGATTCAGGGTATTTTTAAATCTTTATTCCATCGAATAGCAATTTATCTTATTTGGAAACAATGAACTCAAGTTTCATGCCTGTTGGAAATTATCTGTAAGACGCACCGTTACTCATAGGTTTAAGAAACAAAGATTATATTATATGGAATTTGGTTATTTTTAAGTTGGTGCGAAATCACTCACATTGAATTATTTAGATCCACTCTTAATCTTTTTCGATATTCGGATTTACTACCATTCCATCGTTTTCTTTGCTCGATCTCATTCTTTCGTCTTAAGACATATCTTTTATGTTTAGCTTCCCACTCCAGTGATTATCGCTGTTTTTTCTCTTATGCTTCACAAAATTTTAATTATACTGATATGTAAAGTTGTAACATGGACCGTTATGTATTAATGTCATGTCTAACTTAATCTGTCTTGAAATTCCTAGTTAAGGATATCAGTATGGAACAATAATTTTTGTTGTAGTTTTCATTTTCGATGGATTTCCGACAGTTTTTCTGAAATTCTGTTTCTGTCTCACATCTAAACTACACTAACACAGCTTATTATTAAAAAAATTTGTTTTGTGTGTATTATGCATATTCTTAACTCATGTTAAGTCCGTTTTTTCTAGCACTCTACAGCTTAAAAGCGTAACGTTCTAAGTGTTTTAAAATGCGTGTAGAATTCTAGTTCATGGAATGTACGTAGATCTTGCATTGTAATTTTTTAAAAATATCCACTGGTACATCATGTTATAGTTTATTTTGTATAGCTATTTTTATGCTATCATGAAGATAGAAGAATTAGCAATTCTTTCTTATGAACGTTCACATCGGACCAAATTTTGTTTATCATTGGTAATCATAACTCTGTACAAAAAGATTTTACTTTGTACTGTTAATTAGATCTTTTCTTTCTAATTTTAAGGCTCAGGGTAGTTGCCTAACTGCCTCACAACGTCAAACTCTTAATAATTTACAAAACCAAGCATTGAGATATCATCATTACAAACTTATACAAAATCAGAAACAATTGAAAACATGTAAATCGGGCAGTGATTTTGCCGATGAGGCAGTTTCAACTTCTGATTCGGCTGGACCATTTCACGGGGATACTACTACTACGACAGGTAGTTCTAGCGCTGGTCGTAATCCATCCAATGTACCTGGTGCAGATACAGTGGATTTATTTCCCAGTGAGGATGATGATTTAACCGCTGTTGTTGATAGTCCTGGATCGGGTAATTTACCTGAAGAAGATTTAGGGTTTTTGACGGATGACCTGCTTGCTCAGTTAAATGGATCTGAAGCAGCTACTGGATTGGATCTTGTTGAGTTAGCTCTTTTTACTACTGGCTCTAGTGCTGGTGATCAGCGGCCTACAAGTAATAATGATAATAACCAGGTTTTAATAAATGAAAAACCTTGTCAATCGAAATGTGGTGATTCTTCTACATCTGGTCCAACTTCTACAACTCCAACTAATCCACCAAAGACGATTAATTTAAATGCAGCCAAAAAGGATGAAATTGACATGAAAAATTGCTTAACTCAAGAACTTGGTATTGACCCCCTTATCAATTCTTCAGATAATCCATCTTCAGAACCTGTAGATTTGCATGCTTACTTAACCAAACCACTAAACCCACCGACTAGTATTACTGCAGCTCTGCATGTCAATATGTCTTCTTCTCAAGTGAGCTATGGCCATCATATTTATGTATTTAACGTTTTTTGTTCATACATGAAATATTAAACAGATGTCGGTATTTTATTCTAGTACAGACTGTTCATCAGTGTTGTTTTTGTTGTCAATTTTCTATCTACTTTAATAGAAAACTCAACTGTAGGTATTACTTACTGCTTGTCTTAATATTTTTAATTGTTATCTGCTGTAAGCATCGTTATTTTAAACAATTATTTGAATAGCACTTGTACCGTTGATGAATAACTCAATTATTACAAATCCGGGTATGATATCTATGACTATGTTTAGGAATAAAGGTCCTCATCTGTGAATATCTGATCATTATTCAGAATATACTGAATTCCTCTCTCTCTAGTCTAAAACGTTATTTACTTGCCTAGCATTTTCAACTACACTTCAGAGTTAGAAATATCTTACAGTTCATACTTATAAAGTAAAGTAGTTCACACCGATACGGCGTTTGATTTTCCTTGTGGACGTTACATTACAGAAATGTATTGTAGCTAATAAATCGTATTTGATTACGTCAGATCACTTTTACGGAAGTGTATTAATAAACTAATGGTATCATTCGTAACTATGCGAATAGGAATGCCTTAACTTCTTCGAAACCTACGGTAGTTATGATAGCATCAGCGCTTGAGAATAGAAAAAAGCTCACCTAAGTAAATTTATTCTACTGAAATATGAGTAAACCTGGTAATTGTATAAAAAGCATGTACAAATTGATAGAAATATGTATAAAATTTACATACTAATTTATTGTGCTCCAAATAACTTCATTGTTGATCCTCATTCTCTAATTAAGATGATGTTTATTTTAGATCTTGTCTTCGCTTCGTGGTCTTGGCCATTCAGGTGGACCTTGGTGGCCTGGCTTACTACCGGAAGGTAGTCCTATCCCGAAACCTCCTGCGAAACCGTATCCACCACCTCCTAAAGATAAGCTGCTGCCCCCCACACCAAGTGTTTATTTGGAAAATCGCAATGATGCTCATTCACCTGAATTAATGCGCTACTGTTTTACACAACCAGTAGTTGTAATACGTGGTTTAGCTGCTGCTTTGCGCCTGGATTTAGGTTTATTTTCTACAAAATCATTGGTTGAATCCAACCCAGAACATCGAGTTGAAGTAAGTTGGTGGCATTTATGTTAGTACTTATTGTAATTCAACCGGTCAGTTTTGATTAATTAAGTATGAACGTTGTTACTTTTGCTTGACTTTCTCAGAAAATAACCTCATTTAATTCAGTCCTAAGAAATTCTGTAAGGGACTAGTTTGTTTTTCTTTTTTCATTTGAAAACATCCTTTTCTAAGCGATTAGCAATGATGTTTTTGTGTATTATGGCAATTTGTGTTGATCAGTTGTTGAGATGAATTGTTACGAATATGGATTTTATTTAGGGTATTCTAATCAATTCCACTAAAAGCAATTAACCCCTTTCCTATACTTGGGGTAACCAGTTTCTTAACTTCTTGGCTACAATATGTACGCTAAACATTAGCTCTTCGTTATTATTTGTGTCAACAACTATTTATTGGTTTTTATCAACCTGGTTACACAGCTATAAAATAAAAGACTCACGGATTGTGTATTGAATTCCTAAAGTTTATTTGGATTTTTTGAATAAGCATCTGGTGGTGTTTTCCTAAACTTATTATTCGTCATCAATATAGGGTTGTGGAGATTGTTGAGTTTCGATTGAGATCATGAGTGGGTAATGTTAGACCACCATTGAAAACCCGGAAACACTGGACGGACGTTTCGTCCTAGTATAGGACTCTGTAGCGGTGCGCATCTACAATCCCGCACGCTGGATCATTTGTTGCCTTCAACTACCAAATAGTCACATATTTTTGTTACCTGATTAAGCTTTTCATAGTGGATTGATTTCAACAATATGCCATTTCTGAAGTCGGTTTGTTTGAAAGACATGATACTATTCTGGCCAAAAACTCTATACCATCAGTTTTTAATCATTTTAAATGGCAAATTACTTTTATTCACAGAGTGACTTTTAAGTTGATGCTATTTTATTTTGAAAGGATATTGTTTTGACTTTTGTATAGATACTGCTCCCACTTTTTCCATTTGCACTGCTTATACATTTATATACGTATACTCAGGTACGAACCCAACGTCTTCAATCGCCTGATCAGAACCTTGATTCTCAAGGACGTACTGTATGGCTTTGTGAATCACCGAAAACTACCACAACAATTGCTAAATATGGTGCTTATCAAGCTGCTTCATTTATTGAAGCAATGAAAGAAGAGAAAATTGTGAATTTTTCCGGCAGTGCACCAGTTACTTCTACTCCAACTTCTAACACAATATCCGCTATATCAGTAGACACCAAATCGTCTACCGGCAGCTTATCAAATGGTATGACAAGTGTAAAAGTTCTTAGTTGATATAAATTATGTTTTTAAATAGAAACGGAACACACGTTTTAATTTAAGCTCTCATTGTATCCTCTATGTCACAGGTTGAAGGTTCTATTCGTGTCAACTAATTGTTTATCTTGAAAAATCGTACCATGGCTATAGTACTCCATTAGTTGACAAGGTTGAAGCCCGAAATGTTGTGAAATAAAATGACACAACTGATAAAATATTCGTCGTAAGGATTTCCCCCGGTTTTATGATGACTTTCTTGATACATTCGTTTCATGATAGGTAATAGATCACTTTTGTAAGCATTTGAGCATCTTCTAGTTCGGTTTCGTTACCATAGTGCCGTTACAGATCACTCATAATAGTGGTAGAGTAAGAATTTATTTGAGTGTACGGAGAAAATCCTCGTGAAATCTGTTGTTTGGTTTGCTTATGTCTTTGTAGGTACAGACCGCGTTATACCTCAGAATGTGGTATAATAAAGTGGCCATATGACTATGAATTATCATTAATATCGTCAGTCAGTCAGTCAGTCAGCTGCAACGTAGGACCAGGCACGTATATGCATCGGTCCAAGTTGCCATACCGCATTAGCACAACAAGATGAACACCAGATTCATAGAAATAGTTAATTCAGTGGTGGTAATATATAGAAGAAAGATTGTGTATAAGGAGATAGTAAAGGAAGAAAGAATTAGTTCTTAGACAGATATGAAGCGATTTTAATCTCTTAATTTAAGGAAGACAGAGAGTGTATACACCGACGCCATTGTGATCGATTCTGAGCCATGTCACCAAGAGTCTCCAACCATTGGTTACGATAGTCACGCGGACCCCAGCCAGGCAGTCTGCATCTACCAACATGGCTCAGACCAGAAGTTAGTGACTTCAAGCACTGATGCCACGTTTTGGTTTGGCCGCCCCTAACTTTCTTCCAATTATCCCCTGCACTAGTCAGCATTGCGCGTCGTGGTAATCGGTGTTCAGGCATACGCAACACGTGGCCCAACCATCTCAGTCGATGAAGATTCATAACCTCATCAACTGATTTACCATCATTCCCTAATACCCTGCGTCTAACCTCACTATTACTTACCCGGTGATCCCAGCAGATACCCGCAATATTTCTAAGGCACCTGTGGTCAAATACTAGTAACTTACGAATATCTTCCACTCTTAAAGGCCATGTTTCGCAGCCGTATAGAAGGACGGAACGAACTGACGCGCAGTATACTCGTCTCTTAATTGATAGACGGATATCTCGCCTTCGCCATAGATGACGTAAGTTGGCAAAGGCCAAGCGAGCTTTTCGAATCCGTGCTGAGATTTCGTCAGACACCAACCCATTAGGGCTGATCAGACTTCCAAGATAAGTGAAGTTGTCTACACGTTCGACTACTTCACTCCCTATCCTTAGTTCAGGTGTTGATGCAGACCAGTCCTGAAGCAACAACTTGCATTTAGAGGGAGAAAAGCGCATCCCAAACATTCTAGCATTGTTGCTCAGTGCTACCAAAAGACTCTGCATTTCATCAGCGTCTTCACCAAACAGGACTATGTCATCTGCGTATTCTAAGTCAATAAGTGGACCTCCTGGTAGGAGATCAATACCCGAGAAGTCAGTCGATGAGAGCGTTATTTCCATCAGGATGTCTATGATAAAGTTAAACAAAAAAGGAGAAAGTGGACAGCCTTGACGGACGCCACTTGAGGTTGCAAAAGCAGATGACAGTTCGCCATAGGCTCTGACCCGACTAGTAGTGTTCGAGTAAAGAGCCTTCACAAGGTTTATGTACTTCTGAGGTACGCCTTTCAATGACAGACACTGCCACAGAACCTCTCGGTCAACAGAGTCAAACGCTGCTTTTAAGTCAAGGAATACCATTATTGTCGAACGCCGATAAGTATGCCTGTGTTCTAGAACCTGACGAATGGTGAATATGTGGTCGATGCAGCCACGACCAGGTCTGAAGCCAGCCTGATTTTCACGTGTTTGCAGTTCACGAGTCTTAGTTAGGCGTCCGATAATTATCGAAGCTAGTATTTTAGATACTATATTAGTCAAACTAATCCCTCTATGGTTGTCACAGGATGATTTTGACCCTTTCTTATATATTGGGACGATAAGTGATTGTGACCAGTCAGAGGGGATAACGTCTAACTCCCAGATTTTAGCTAAAATATTAGTCAACCTAATCGCTAAGACTAGACCACCATCCTTTAAGACCTCTGGGGCCAATCCATCTGGACCAGCTGCCCTTCCTCGTTTCAGATTAGCTATAGCCTTTTGAACTTCAGCTAGAGTTGGGGGACCTACTTCAATGTTCCATTCACACTGTCTGGGAATAGAGGGTAGTTGTAGAGTAGCTGAAGGCCAGCTAAACTGCTCCTTAAAGTGTTCCGCCCATCGTTCTAAGCGTCTGGACTGGGAGCAGATGAGAGTGTTGTCTTTTTCCGAAATGGTCTGACTTACACTTGATTTATTAATTCCAGTTTCTTTTATTAGTCTGTAGAGTTGTCTTGTGTTCCCTATAGCCGCCGCCTTTTCCATCTCTTTTGCTTTCGTTGCCCACCACTGCTCACGATCATTCCTTAGACTTTTGCTTAATCTAGATTTGATTTCTTTACGCTCTTCATCGTATTCAAAATCTGATGGGATGAGTTTGCGAGAATCTATCAGTGCAATAGACCTTGACGAAATCCATTGGTTTTTTGTAACCATTTGGTTTAAATCACTGGTAGATGTCACTGCTGTTTCCACAGCTGCTTGTATAACTTTCCAAGCAACATCTGGGTCAGTCTCGTTTTCAGAACTACCTAAGTGTGACCTCAGTTGTTCCTGGAACCTACTTTTGGCTTTCTCATTACTCAATTCGGTTCTAATGAGTCTTTTTTGTGTGGCTCTTTTGCGTCCAGTGAGGCGCAAGCAGATGCGTGCTCGTACTAGGGCATGATCAGAGTCCAAGCAGGTACCCCAGAATGAGCGACAATCTTCTATTGACCCTCTCCAACGATGACTGATGGCAATATGGTCTATTTGAGTCCATCGTTGGTTTGGTGCAGGGGGTCGCCATGTTAGACGATGTCTCTCCTTATGCTTAAAATTTGTGTTTGCTAAAAATAAACGATTGTCTGAGCACAGTTGCAGCAGACGATCACCATTATCTGTTCGCTGTGCCGGAATACTAAAATACCCACCTAAATGTCTTTCTGTTTTGTTTAAGCTACCTACCTGGGCATTAAAGTCACCTCCTACGAGTACTATGTCTGAACGTTTAGCTTTCTGAAGAAGTTCAGACAGCTTTCTGTAAAATTCATCTTTCACTTCATCCGAACTGCAGTCAGTGGGAGCGTAGGCAGAAACAACGAAAAGGCAACGACGTGTGTTCCTATCCTTCCGTGTTCTTACGGAGCCGTTTAGCCGAACAGCGCATAGACGACTGTTAACGGGGATCCACTCTAATAGCGCTTGTTCCGCCCTCATGCTAAGTGCTATGCCTACACCTGCCAGTCCACGAGAACTAGCCATCGGGTCGCCAGATACACGGAGGGTGTATCTCGTTGGCTCTCCGTTTTGCCGAGGTGAGGTCAGGTGAATGACCACACTAGGATCCTGTATGCGTGTTTCGGAGACACAGCATACATCAATCGTACGAGATTCTAAGGTGTTAGCCAAGGAAGCCTGCTGACCGATTTGGCATAGTGTGCGTACGTTGAAGGCTCCAATGTATAGTTTGGAGCGAGGTTTCAGTAGACCTGGGACAGTGTTTTGAGCACTAGAATCGTTGGCTGTGGTGACACTTGAGGAGGAAGCTAAAAGAGGAAGTTTAGTGTATAAAGTCGATGTAGGAGGAATAATAGGAATTGAAGAGGGAGGTTGACTATGAATACAGTGGTCTTGAGTGCTGTTAGAGGTATGAGGGCGGTTATCACTTCCCGGTTGCCCACACCGTGGAAGGGTTCTTCTGGAGGTACCTGAAAAGGAAATTGGATTAGAGTTGGTCATAGTGACCTGAGAGCGTGACCGCAGTGCCCAAGGGACAGCTGCTTGAGGTCGGTCACACACGACCTTTTTATGAGTGATTTTTGTGTTAGCTCCGTACTTGTTGAGTCCTTACCGCCGGAGACGGATATCCGTGGGATAAGGCGAGGTGTGCATTTTTAGGGTCGACCTTTTCTAACCCCACCCCTCCTTGTGGGAAGGCAGCATCGCTGTCATGCTGGTTGTCTGAAGGAAACACCTTACTGCTGTCACACCTCTGTACAGTCAGCAGTACGACTTCGCCTTCGGACCTTGGTTTTGTTGCTTTTAGTCTTACCGCTCTTCAACCGACCTGTCTGGCATGGTAGGACCTTGAGGAACGGTTGTTCCAGCCAGTATAGCTCAGTTGCTTCATCACGATAGGCAAGCCCGACCACCACGTCAAGGTAGCAACAACGGTCGTAGTTAATCTCAATAACGTGCTTAGGATCTTTAACGTTCAATTTAAGTTTTTTTTTGAAATTTTTTATGGTATATTATTATAACCAGCCTGCTTTAGTTAATCTCAATAACGTGCTTAGGATCTTTAACGTTCAATTTAAGTTTTTTTTTGAAATTTTTTATGGTATATTATTATAACCAGCCTGCTTTATTCTTTGTCTCTATTTCCCTTCGATTAGCTGTAACGGGAAGTGGACGGAAAAATTCTACTAATTGGTCTAGCGAATCAACAAATTCAGAATTAAAGTAAGTGTTTTAATGATTTAATTTGACACATTTTCAATTATTTATCGGAATAATTTTAGATGAGCTGTAACATATTGAACTTTGCTAACTCAAACTATATACATTAGTGTTATGTGACATGTAGAATGTTGCATTTGTTGTTTTTAATATCATTTAATGTAATAGAGTTATTTATCTACGATAATTGTATCGTTATTAAATCTTTTACTGCAACTACTTAGGTCCGTATATTTTTCGTATTTTTAATGAAATGTAGGCTATATAATATTAAGGAACTGTTTTCCTGCACATCTCTATAAGCGTTGTCATTTTTTTCTAATTTATAATGAATTCTCCTGTAAACTGTTGTCAGTATATTGTCCATTTCACTTGAATATTTAGCAGTTGTATTTTTTGTATTTATTAGTTTTTGTTATTAGTTTATTTGACTGATCTAATGTCAGAAAATTAATATGTGACATAAAAAAGCAGTTACAAAGTGAAATAAATAAATGAAAACATATTTCAGTGGTTGAGATCATGAGTCAATTGAAGCTAGACCACCATGGAAAACCTGTTAGCGCCGGACGGCCCTTTTCGTCCTATTATGCGACTCCTCAGCAGTGCGTATCCACGATCCCTCCCCCCATGAGATCCAAACCCAGGACCTATCAGTCTCGCGCGCGGGCACTTAATCAGTAAACCACTGATCCGGCATCCAATGGTGTTAATGTCTTATTTCAACCAATCCACAAATCCGAGCGACGCATGTGATTAATAACTTATCTTTGTTCTACAGGTTGACCATTTGAGTGCTTGTTATCTGTTAATTAATGTTTTTTTAAAAAGATTTAATTTTATCCTGTTTCTTTTTCTTAAAAAAATCTTACTAGTGCAAATCAACCTCATCATGTGGGAAATAAATTATCTGGTGATGAAAATCATTCATTATCAAATCAACAGAATAATGGACGATTGAAATTAATACGTTTTGGAACAAATTGTGATCTTTCAGATCAGAAAAAGTGGTTACCTCAACTCCATGAACTTACTAAATTGCCTATATTTGTTCGAGTTGTAAGCGCTTTCAGCATGCTCAGTCATGTAGGCTATCCACTTTTAGGATTGAATACTGTTCAACTTTATTTGAAAGTAAGAAAGATATTTTTCTTGATTCGTTAACATACATGTAAAAGCGTAGTTCTATATAAAGACGAAAATATGTTTTCATTAAAGATACTTAACATAACACTGGTACAAATAGTAATGATAATATTGAACACAATTCAAGGGAAAATAAGACTGAATTACATTACATTTCAACCAAACTACTGCCTGGAAATAATATGTACAAAATCACGCCAGGTACAAGACTAATGATATTTCAAACAATTGAGTGCCATGATGTGTAGGACCCTATATGTAATTTATTGATGAGATAAACTGGTGTCGACTCAGAAACCGTCTTCTATTCCTCAGCTTTTTCACAAATTGGTTGGTAAATATGGTGTCTCTATAACAGACTATATAGTTAAAACCAGGTTATTTGTTGCTAGTTAATTAGATGTGATGGATTTGTTTTCTGATATTTACCAGTTACGACTTCTATTTCTCCTTACCCGGGATATACATCCACTAGATCTATGTAATCATGATATAATTGGACAGTTGGTACGGAAACGTTTTTGTTAAACGTCTCATGAACGTAAATCGCAAGTCAGTCAGATTTGTGATCAGGAATAATTGAACCTATCGTAATATGTAGTGTTGGTTCTGTCTGAACCTGTTGGTCAATACCTTAATTTTAATGTATTGGATGCTTTTATGCAAATGCAAGTTGTTCCATACAAAGCTCTTCAGATTGTGAAGTTTATTATTTATTGATCATACACAAAATCAAAATAATTCTAATTATATTTATAAATGGATAGTGGCTAGTAGTAAATCCACGACGGGCGCTTCGTCCTATTTGGGACTCATCAACTGGATGTTCCTGGGTCCCAGAGTTAATGTTCACTCCGGGATTGATTGTTTGTATCTTTCGTTGGTATTGTCCTTTTTCACGTCTATTAATTTTTTGGATAATGATTAACTTTCTAAGTATCAAAAGATTTAAATAATTATAACTACACTACTCATGAGTACATCGACTTTTTCCTTTTCTTGTACTTTATCGGCTAAACTAACTGTTCATAAATTGTTTACTTATTCAATTGACACAATTTAATTGGGCAGTCATTTCTGTAACTGACTGCGTTGAGAATCGATTGTTTTTGAGTTTATAATCTCATCGTAGAGGCATTTGATTTTTGTATATTTCCGTATATATCCGGGAAACCAAGACCCTCGTCCATAAATTAGTTTCACCGCTACTAATTTCTTTACAGATCAGGGTTCAATTACTGTTCCTCAATTTTAAGAGCTTGTTTTTCACTTTTAAAGTCACCAAACGGTTTTTTCATGGCAAAGGTTAAAAAATCGCGATTGTAAATTGAGTGAACTTCTTCTTACGCTCAGCTGTACCATCATCATGACGATAATGGTGGGGAAGGTGGTTTAATCAATCTTTATTTTTACAGCTGAAATCTAAGCAAATGACTCTTTCTTCATCACTTTAGGTCCCTGGTTCTCGTACTCCTGGTCATCAAGAAAATAATAATTTCTGTGCTGTTAATATTAATATTGGTCCAGGTGATTGTGAATGGTTTGCCGTACCGGAGCAATATTGGGGAGCTATTCATAATTTATGTGAAAAGAATAATGTGAGTTTTAATTTCGTTCATTATTTACTAGAATTATCTTTAAACTAAGGACATAATATTTTGGATGTGTAGGAAATAGTCATAAAAGACATTAGGTGTAGATTAGAATAGAGGAGATACAAAAACTGTTTACATTTCTTTTAAATGTGTCTTTTCCAATCTTCTCAATTTACTGATATCCTTCATGGCGATTTTAATCCCCCTATTTCTCTTGATTAACTATTTCTGTATTTCAACTAAAAAAATGGTCGTAGATCTGTTGGAAGGTTGTAAATTATACTTTTATTTGTTCTGTAAGTTAATTCAGCAAAATTTCTGTAAGGTTTAAAAATTGTTTGTATTGGAAAATACTTATTAGAATTTTGTGTAGTTTATGGTCTTCATGATGGTGTTTTATGAATTAAAACTTGTAAATCAATTTTTATTTTCACAAATAATAGAATAGGCTATATCATAAGAAGTATTCAAGTAAATATATTAACTACGAGACTTTAAAAAAAATTGTTTATTGTTTCATGTCTGTCATCTCCCTTTTATATCTCCTTCACTTAACTGTTTTAAGTAAGTCCATTTGAAATAATGTACTATTTAATTGAAGTCAATGGAGTTGAAGAAATTTTACTCACTTTTATTTCTTTGATTCGGTCTGTGATAACTTGATTATAGGGTATAGTAGTAATATAAGTTTTTATCTTATCTGGAAATTGCACCTGTTGAATTATGGAATCGACTTGTCATATCAATAAAAATTCTAATTAATTTATTATTTTAAATTGTACGTTCAGGTTGATTATCTAACTGGTTCTTGGTGGCCAGATCTAGAAACATTGTACAAGGAAGAGATACCAGTTTACAGGTTCATTCAACGACCTGGAGATTTAGTATGGATCAATGCAGGTACAGTTCATTGGGTACAAGCTATTGGTTGGTGTAACAATATAGCATGGAATGTTGGATGTATGACTGCTCGACAATATCAACTCGCTGTTGAACGTTATGAATTCAACCGTTTACGTGGGGTTAAATCTGTTGTACCTATGACACATCTTAGTTGGCAGTTGGCTAAAAATATAAAAATATCAGATCCGGGATTGTTTGAATTAATCAAGTAATTATCTTTACTATGAATCTTTTTGTACGTTAATATTCTATGCTTTATTTAATTAAAGAAACTCTGAGTATTTCCTTTATGTTAGTGATGTAGGTTCAATGCATAACGTTGTCTTTTTTTAAGGAAGTTATAGAAATAATGAAGCTTCTGCTAACATTAAACTAAACGTATTAAGAGGAAACTTAATCCTTTCAATTACTTTTCCCTCATTTTTGAAGTTTATTAGTCTATTGTAAGCATTAATGAAAGATGGATTATACAGTTTATATTTCTATCTTATTGCCTTTTTTTAATGAGGATCAACGGAGTAATTTTTAAAATTTACAAATATAGTCTCATTGAAATAAAGTACGTTTAAAAATTTGTTAAATCATATTCACTAGGATATAAACGTAGAATTTCAAGACTTCCAAACAACACAATAAATAGCCACTGACAACTGTAATAAAATATTAACGTGAAACTGAACTCTGCCGTGAAAAATGTATTAAAATCAATAAAATGCTTACAAAACAATAAAATTATTCTATCTCAATATTTCGAGGGGATAGATCTGTGTTACTTGATATGATTGTGATCTGGTCTCTTCTGTCTTGTAAATGGCAGCTAAGTTTTCTGCATACTACATGTAATAGATCGTCCTATACATTTTTAGTGCACCTTAGTTTGACGGATTTTCCAATCCACATATAAATTGGCACATCTACATTTTTAAATATTAATTATCCTACTTTCAGGCACACATTGCTTCGTAGTCTTATTCAATCTCAGTTGACTACGGATTTTCTGGAGAAGATGAATTTAACTGTTAAACATCACGGGAAAAGACCTGATGATATTGCTCATTCCTGTCATGATTGTGAGGTTAGCGAAATTGTTTTTAATTTATTACCCTATACTATTTTGTTAAATATAAAGTGTTTAGAAGAGTGAATAGATTAATTTGTTTCCTACCGAATTACTAGAGCAGTTACTATGGGAATTTAATTTAAAAAAATAGATATTTATATACACTTTGTATTGAAAGCATTAAGTAATAGATGTTTTGATTCACAAACAGAATACTTCTGTTTATGCAACTATTCAGTTTGAAAGCTAAATACAATTCAAATTAATGGTTGGATTGTTTCAAATTGTCATCTTTCATCATTCATTTCTACAATGTAGTTCATTCAATAATTATAGTACACATTGAATTCTTTATGGTTAATTAATTCGTCACATATTGTGAAAAACTTATCTTCTAAAGATTATTTAACAAATTACTATTATTATATCATAATTCGAAATTAAAATTTATTCTTCACATTTTCACAAATTCAGTAGAATTTTATCCATTTATTTTGTTTCATTCCATCCAGTTTACTGATCCATTGTTTTATTGTGTTATACACTTAATACAGAATTGCACATTCGTTTTTACAAACTAATTATAATTTAGCCTATGGCTTCAGGTTATTCCAAAGACAATTTATCACTAACGCATTGTCAAGTTAATCTTACTCTTTAATTTTTCCAACAAAACTGTTTATAGAGACTTTACTCAATGTGTTTTATGCACAAATTGTATTAGTTAAACATTAACTAATTATTTTCTCGAGATTAAATTAATTAGCTTAAAGGTTTTGTTTTGTTTTATACGATTGCCAAATTTAGATAAACGGACTTATATGACCAACAAATGAGTCCCAAATAGCCCTTTTCCCTGCCTATTAAGTTCAAAACATCAATCTCAGCCTCCACGATACGAATCATATATATATATATATATATATATATATATATATATATATATATCAAACATGCTGAGTTTATATACAAGCCACATCACACCCTAAAATAGGAAATCACATTTGTAACCAATTTATTTATTTATTTATTTTAACACATAAGTATTGGTACAATAAGGCACCAAATACATATGCGCCACACGAATCTCAATTGATTTGTGTGAGGGCTGTGATACTGCCAGGGTGCCCAAACCGAAGCAGGTGGTTTTCTTAGGGGGCCACACCCCGAGCCTTCGACCTGAACGTCTGACCCACAAGGCAGTGGAGAATCGTAAGGAGATGCAGTCCCATGGTAGCAGGTGACCAACGATTGGTTCATACGCCATTTGTTCCTTTAGGATACTGGAGCCCATGTGCACCATTGGTTTGGGATCCGGTTAAAGCGCCGGACATTCGCTTTCGCTTTTCGTCCTCTTATTTTCGTAAACAACACCCGTGGTGTGAGAAGGCAGTGAGTAGGACTTCCCTGGCAAAGGCTATATACGCATGGCCATGTGAGAGCATTTTGAGAGGGAGAGCGGACTCTCCTCACTCTCGGCCGTACCAGGGCATTTGGGGGCTTTGTAACCAAAAGTGGATGTGATTTTGGGAGACTGTAATTAATAAATTGAGCATAGCTTAAGAATGGTAAATCGTATAATAATAATCTATAGATCAAAATAAGGCTTATAATTAGAGGAGTATAAATATACACATTTCAATTACTTAAAAATTATACAATAAGTATATCTGTATAGTATTCACAAATAGATCCTAACAGATACCATTCATTATTCTCGTCGGGATATAACAAAGCTAACTTACATAATTTTTTTCAGAATAAAGTTATCGATAATCCGTAGTGTCGCAATTTGGTCTGTGCACGACCGGTCCTTACGGAATCCAGCTTGTTGATCTCGAAGTTGAGCGTCTACTGTGTCTTTCATCCTGTTCAGCAACACTCTGTTAAAGACCTTTCCTGGTATTGAAAGTAGTGTAATGCCTCTGTAATTTTCACACTTGCTCAGGTCTCCTTTCTTTGAAATCTTGATGAGGTGTCCTTCTTTCCAGTCCACCGGCACTTGTTCCTCCTCCCAAATCTTCTTGAATAGAAGATGAAGCATGTTCGTAGTTACTTCGATGTCTGACTTCAACGCTTCAGCTGGTATATTGTCGAGTCCTGTTGCTTTCTCGCTCTTGATTTATCTGATGGCCATTCTGATTTCTCCGTCGCTGGTGGATTGACATCTATAGGAAGATCTGTGTGTGCTGCTTCTATGTCCGGTGGATTCATTGGCGCCGGCCTATTCATGAGCTCCTCGAAGTACTCTGCCCATCTGTTCCGCCGTTGCTGAATCTCGGTGATCGGTCTTCCTTCTTTGTCTTTGACTGGTCTCTCTGGTTTACTGTATTTCCCTGCAAGCTTCTTCGTCGTATCGTAAAGCTGTCTCATATTTCCTTCTCTTGCAGCTTTTTCCGCCGTCGTTGCTAGTTCATCCACGTATTTCTGATTGTCGGCTCTAATGCTCTTCTTCACTTGCTTGTTTGCTTCTATGTATTCTGCTTGTGCTTGGACTTTCTTTGCTTTTGTTCGACTGTTGTTAACTGCTGTCTTCTTATTCTTTCTTTCTTTGATCCTGTCCAGTGTTTCTATAGAGATCCATTCCATGTGATGATGCTTCTTGGGGCCCAGAACCTCTTGACACGAAACTAAGAAAAGATGAAACCCTGATCATAAGCAAACCTGATAAAGGAGGAGGTATAATTCTCATGAAACAAAAGGATTACATCGGAAAAAATGGAAGCTATGCTTAGTGATCCTAGCGAATTTCAGAAAGTTACTAGTAATTATGATATCAACAATCCTGCGTTGACTTTCTCTTGTTGACCAGCGATGTCTACTCAAACAAAGGATAAGTTACCTGAGTTGGCCTCCTCAATGTGCATCTACAAATTCAGCTGCTCCTGTGAAGATAGCCATATCGGGTGTACAACCAGGCAACTTAACCAACGAATGAGTGAACCTCTACCAACTTGGTTTATAAAGGGCCAGATAAAAACAGTACGCAGTTCAATCCTGGCACATCTTATTGATAGTGGTCGTGCTGTAGATAAATCGAAATCATTTCGAGTGATCGATCGTATACCTCCATCATTTCCCAACGGAGTTCGTTCCCGCCTCCTACATATAGCTGAAGCCATAGGAATTCGTACATATAACCCCAATCTATGTGTACAGAAGAAATTCATAACCCCCCTATCCCTCCCATGGCCAGTTATAACTTAACTAACGATTGCTTTTCATTTTTTCTTTATTATTATTATTATTATTATTATTATTATTAATATTATTATTATTATTATTATTATTATTATTATTATTATTATTATTATTATTATTATTATTATTATTATTATTATTATTATTATTCTATCATTAACCTTATTTACACATCCATGTTTTGTGATGGCTATTCCATTTACCCATGTTTGACTTACTATTTCCAATGTTTAACTATCGATAAGACTTTTGTCATCGTATTTTATTATTCTTACTACTATCAGTACACCTGTTTTCTTACTATCAACTTGTACTTTTATCTATTATATGTGATGTCTTATTCTATTTCATGAATTATCTTATCCCACCGGCAATTTATTTTTTAAAGTGTTCCCCACCCCCCTGAAAAATTTTTTTCCACCCCCAAATTACAATATTTTTCATCCCCAGTTTCGTCCAATGAAATTAGTAGTTTTAAAACTTCTATGTAATTGGTTAGTTTTGTCTGGAAAGTTGTTATAAATTATCAGTACATGCCGATGATGTAGATTTTAATCATCATTATGGAGGACAGTAACGTTCCAAGTACAAGTGCTGTTGTTTCTCACGTAACGGAACTGGAGGAAGTGTTTTTAACAAGCTTGTTTCTTGTTGCCTTTCCATCGATTGAAGCGTTGAAGACGGCTATCATCAATTATGAAAGGTCGAGTTACAGTCATTATGTCGTGCGAGATTCGCATACTGGCCGAGATCAAAATTCTTAAATAAAATTTGTGTGTTGGAGAAACGGGCGTATAAGATCTAGCGGTTCGTCACAACGTATTAGACGGAGGAGGTAATTTGGTTAATGTTGTTATAATTTGTTTCACGAAGCGCTTCCATGAACACCCAATGTCCGGCCTTCATGTTTTGTAAGACTGTAGACGGCTACTGGACTGTTGTACGTGGGGATGTGCATCACAATCACGAGTGCAGTTCCCTGAGGTACGAAGGTAATTCATGGGTGCGTAGGTTAACGGATGGTGAGCTTGAAACGAACTTCCAAATACAGTCACTGCATAACTGTTATTAAATTTTTTATCATTCAATGTACACACTGTTTCGAATGTCATTTTCTACCGTTTTCTGACTTAAATACTGTCATTTTTATATTGTTATTTGCTTTGTGCATTTTCATATTTTCATTACATGTTCGTACGAGCCTACATTACTACTATTTGTTGCTTCAGTAATTACCGGTAAGCAATCCAGATCTCACTAGTGAAATCCCTCTACGCTTTAAATGTGTATATTCTGTGCTATGAAGAAAAACTGAAATGCTGTTATAAAATATGAACTTCTTGACTGTTTTGACGAATGAAAAATCATCCACTGACCCAGATGGCATTTGTTGTGTAGCGGTAAATAAATCCCCAAAATCAATAGCTCTGTAACTTTTCGACATTCGATGCTGACCACATTAGTTTTAATGGACTCACCTAGCTGAAGGCGCTCGGTAAGTCACCCGCACCAGATAACGAGTGAAAACGCCGTGCTCAACATCACCTGCAAACGCTAACCAGATTAGACCAGTCGATTCACCGATATATTGATAGCCTATCAAATATATCTTCGAACCTCGTCGCTTCTGTCTTTTGATTTCATTTGGTGGGTACGATTCATGTTAGAAAGTGTTACTGGTTAAAGCGTTGTCGAAACCCAAACACATGTTTTTACACCGCATTTACCACGTAAATCTGTGTTGTCTCCATAGACAAGATCTGAGTGTGAAAAAATAAAATATTTGGCACTGATCACATATTAATGCAACTATTTGTTAAATAGTAAATAGTCGTGCAAATGTTCAAATTTAAAAAGTCATCCTTCAAAATGCACCACATGAC